CTATATGTGGTTATAAGCAATACATTGTTATAAATTATGCATGGATTTCTAGGAGTCTCTAATGGCACATTATTAAAAATATGCAGGGTCTATTATTGACCTATCATTTACAAAACCTTAATGCAAATTTTGATAGATGTTTATTTTGATTTTCCAGTTACAGTTTCTATTCTTCATTTGATGGTTAAATCAATAGGTGAAGAAAATTAATGGAAATTACTATTGTAGAAAAGCATAATTTAACCAAGCATGATTTCTCAAGAAATGTACCTGCATTATGAAACATGTCAGTGTCTTTTAAACGGTTGACCTCACTCTTGCATTGGTTTTGCTCTGCTGAATTTTTGGACTCAACAATCCTTGTATGTTCTTTAAACTTGGGATATTCTATGATTACATGACTCTATGTAACTAATGTAGTAAAAAACAGCAGTTAAATGACTTTCCCAGCTTCTAACAGTGTTATATCTCTCCCAAGATCAAAAGAATCAACCTCATTCTAGGTGAAATAGAAAACTGATTTCTTCTTTCCTTTTTATGGACTACAGGGATGTACTTCTCAAAAAGAAAAAAAAAAAAGAAAAAAAAAAAAGCACAAAATACTTGCCTTTAAGGCTACCAATATATTTTACTTTTGTAGAAAAGTCCTCAGCATAGGCAGTGCTAGTATAGCACTTCCAAGTTGATAATTTTTATTATTGATAATTCCCTGATTCGATTATTTCATGTCCAAATTCTTCCCACCTTCCCTTAAAACCACCAGCCAAGTCATTGTGTAGCTGTGCAATCACCCTTTCAGTGTAAATAAGACACCTCCAAAGCACTAGATCAAGAATTTCATTCCAAAGGTACAGTCTAGTGAATGTGTCAGGCAAGTCTGCAGCAGTCAGTTATCTATTATCAACTATTTGGCAACTCACTGTTCACACAGTATAGTCTGGTTTCTGCTTGGAGACAATATCTACTGTAGTCAAACTATGTAAATAGAAACAAAATACTCCAAAGGTCCAAACCACTGTAAATATTTTGCTTTTGTTTGTCAAACTAAATTAACCAGTTCCTGCCATCTAGAATTTGATTTTTGTTAAGCTAATCTCCCTAATAAAGCAGTCACCCTCTCCCGACTCCTCAAAATGACCATTAACAACCTTGTCATACAAATAATTTTTTTAAAAATGCCTTAAGACTAATAATTTATATACTATCATATAGAGTATTATCAGATGGCAATCCAGCAGATTTGTTGCTTTGCATAGTACACAGATTTTTACTACATTTGTTTTTTGGAGTTTCCATCCAAAAACTCGATAGGCCAATGAGCACGGCATACCTGACAGCCTAAATTGTTTCAAGCTGTTGAAACAGTGTTCCCTATTTTCCAGATTTCTTTCTTTCTTTTTTAGGGACACAACCAATATAAGCCTATCCTGGTGAGTAATTCCATAAACATGTTGAGGTCCATGTTTCTCTAGATAACCCAGCCTTTCCTTTAATAAACACAGCCCATTTTGCATAAAAGCACTGTATCTTTCAAAGTGACTCAACTACAGCTCAAGATATTTAGCTAAACATCTCGAAAAATGTGGTCCAAGTAGTAGGGCTTTTAACTGCCCAAGTAACTTTGCAAAAGAAATTAACCATCTAGGTCATTCAAGGCAAGGGAATCACCCCTATGGGAGTTGCCATATATTCCTAGGACTCTCTTTCAGTTTATTTCAATGAGGATTAAGGGACTTCTTATATCTTTCTGCCTCTAAATACTTTTCGAATCTGACACTAAGCCATGTAGCATAAAATCCTTAACATTTCTGTCCCAGAACAGAATTCCTCTCTAACCATGGACTGGCTGATCTCTATTCCCATATTTCTCACCAAATAATGACACATAAAACATCATCAAACAAAATCAGTTCTCAATTCTGTACCTGAATGCTTACTTGCAACATCTCCCTACTGATAACACAGGAGAATCTCTCTTTCTTTTACCTTGAAAAACATCTTCGATAAAACAGATAGGACTTAGTAGATACATAAAGGAAACTGCAAAAATAAAGCCAAGACGTAACCCCCTCCCCCCCATGTTTATGTTCTATGAGCTGTTCATAGGACACTCCATAGTGAGTGTGAACTTATTTACTCATTGAAGAAAAGAAATAAATATTTTATTTATTTTAGCTATTAATATGCTTTGTTTATTCCATGCATTTAGTTGTTTCAGCACTGAAGAAGTAACAGTACAGCACAGAGCCGTAAGAGACAGAATACATCTCTGGAGTGTATTTCCAGCATGTGGTGAAAGTTCACAGTCAAGCTCAGAAAAGGCATTTACTTAGCTATTGCCAATTGTTTAACATTAGTTTGTCCCTGACTACTGAATCAAAAGATATGTTACTCCCTGCAGCGATTAAAAAAATAGTCTCTCTCCATGCTTCCCTTTGTGTCATTGCAAGAGATAATGGAAGCCACTTTTTTTTTATCTTCCTGTAACTAAAAATATTGTAAGCCAAAATAATAATTGGAGAAAGCTTGTTACAATGGTGTCTCTAAACTTAGGCTTTCCTCGATCAGTTACTGATGTTATTTTGCTGAATGTTGTCTTCACCATTTCTTTCACTTGTTTGAATGAAACTACATTAAAAGGTTTTAATTACAATCAAAACATCAGAAACATTTACATACTCTTAAACTAACTCTGAAACTTTTTAAAGTTGAGACAAACATTCCTATTAAGGCTCGAAGACTTTGGCATAAACTGCAGAAGCTCCCTTCTCATAAGTACACCCTTTCAAAAATGTGTGCATAACGGTCTATCCAGAGAAATCCTTTGGGCTTCTGATAATATTCTACGGTTGTTCCTATCCCAAACTCCTGACTTCTCTTACTTGATGTTATGACCAGATTCACCATTACAGTTGAGCCCTCAGGCAAAGGTCTGGTACTGAGTTTTGAACAAAACCAAAATTCTCCAGCAAGACTCCAGACTTCTCACCTGAGATCTGTTTTAGTAAATTATTTTCTACAAAAGCAATTCAGTGGGAATTCCTTATAACTTCTGCCACTGATTACAAGCCATTCCACTGATTGCAAACCATGCATCCCACACGGGTATCTATTGACACAGTTCCACAGAAAGAAGTCAAATTGCATCTTTAGAAACTAACAAATAATGCAGCTCTATTTTACTCTCCCTCTCTAGTTTGACAATATGCTACTGTCTGTAATGTAAAAGAACTGTTTTTGCTAGCTCCATCTTCAGTGGACACTGGAGATGTCAGGGAATATTTTAAGTCATTCAGGGAATAAATGAGGCAGTTTTGAGCTATGGGATCAGACCCAATAAAAGGGTTTTTTTGCTCAAATGGCCTTCAGAGAAATAGCTATTTTCACATTGGCAAATAGCAAGGTTGTTTAACCTCTGGGTAGATACTAAGAGCTTAAGACATGCTTTAATCATTGTTTCAGTTGCACTGTGCTGACTGAACAATTAGTAGAACATCACTCCTCAAATTTGTAACTAGGTCTTTTATGGCCACATGAGATAGAAAACGCATACAAAACTGGATGTTTACATCCTGGATAGCAGTTCTGTGGAAAGTATAAAAGATGAAAAATAAGCATGTGGTACTAAAGGATGTAAATATTTCAGATCTGTGACTGACACCACAAGCAGCAACACTCTTTTTCTGTGCAACACACCATTATGATCAATTCCAGGAGCCTGAGTTCACTGCAAATCAACACACATTACTGCTTTTACATCAGCAGGGACTTTCTTCCTCGATTCACTTCCTGCTGCTTGTCCCTATTAGCCTTGTTACTCTGCTGTTAGGTCTGCATTCCTGTCAAGTTCCTATTCTGCTAATTTTTTTAGTAAAGGCAAGATTGAAAGATTTTCACAATTCTCAGCCTTTCAATCACAACATATAGGAGGTGGGAGGAGGAGAAACATTCAGGAGTTTCATTTAGCATAGAATAAAGAAAACTGTGACAAAAAAAAAAGAAAAAAAAAAGGCTAGGAAAATAAACAAACAATACATTCTTGTTAATCTTTTTCATATAAAATCTCAGTGTACTTTTCCAGATGATATGCTGGTCCTATTTAGAAGATGAACAAACGCAGCACAGGGACCTTCAACCATGCACTGAAGGTCCCCCAAGCAGCACTGAAATCCCACCCTCCTCCATTCTCCATTTGATGCACCTCACATCTAGCCCCCAGCTCAACAGAACATTCTGAAAACTTCGTAACTATGTTATATATTTTATACAACTTTAAGAACAAAAAATGTCAAACCACACAGACAGGTCTGGTATTAAACTTGGCTACAGCTGTTTAAACAGTCAGACCATTTTGATCGAAGATTTTGTGTCTACCTTAGCTTTGAAGCCTCAGCTTTGAAAAACACATTGAAGAAATTCAAAACAAACTTAACTTATGGACTTTTTTTTTTTTTTTTTTTTTTTTTGTAATGAATTTTAATTCTTTCTAGGAAGTTTTGTGTTTTGACAGGTAGTAGTATATGTCATTTGATTAGTATAGAAGAAGAGGAAATGTGAGCGAACAAGTTAACAAACTTGATCTTTGCTCAAAAGTTAAGCAAACAAGTAACTTTTTTTTAATATTATACTCATTTCACTGCATATCCATACTCAGCGTAAACATATTAACATCACTAATATATGTAACAGGAATAATTCAGTTGCCTGGTCATGACTTATTTTGGAAACCAAGGAAAACAATATGAATTTTCATCAATTACTTCAGAATTGTAAACATTAATAATGAACTTTAAAAAACATTTATCAGGTGAACATTTATCAGATTATAAAGGCCAATAATGCAGGAAGAAATGGAAAAGTCATGAAACATATCAAAGTCTGAGCAGAAGTTAAGGCCTAATACTGAATGCAGTCCGTGAGTCTGTTTTCATCTCTACTGCAAGGTGAGAGGTTGAAACAGGCTTTGGAATTGTACAGCACAAGAAATGACTAGATATTACCTGGGAATCAGCAAGAGACATCATGATACGATCCGAAGTCATGGTGACAGTCTTATTTAATAGCACTTATTCTTCCTTATAAAACGTAGACTTATAAAAGTAAGCAAGTCTCCCTGTTAAGAATGAAACACTAATTAACGTCAATAAATTAGAACATTGCTTAAACACTGTACAAACTGCCTACATAACTCGTGAATAATACACTGCCATTTCTTTTCTGCCATAAGCATACTTTGACCTCCAGACTTCTGCTTTTCAGTGCCTTCAACAGAGTAACCTTCAAGGGATTCCAGTTTCCCAATAACATGTATGAAGGGATTTGACCTCTGGGGACAAGGCCCAGGAAAATAAATAAATAAGCAGAAGTCAAACTTTGGAAATATTAACATTCAAGCACAAATGTGAACCCAAATACTGCAGAGCCTCAGTAATCTCCATAAATACTCGAGAGAGTTACACCTAGAAAGGAATGAAGTTACGGTAACGGCTTTTAAATCCTGATAAAAAAGCAATCTCTGAAGTCCAGAACTGATTGCCCAAAACCAAGCAAGCTTAGTTTCAGAGGCTACAAACAGAATTTCTGCAGCTATATGGTGATACAGTACTTTACAGACACTGAAATTCTTTGCTTATGACATTGTACGCACTTGCTCTTCTGATATCTCATCAATATCAGTAAATACACGAGCTTCTTTTGATGTACTATTTTGTACAGGGTTCCTAAGTGCTGTGCTCTTTTTAAAATGTTTACTAAAAATCAAGATTTTTGTTTGAGGACTGAATTTTAAATTTGGAGTCCTTAGCAGCAACATTTGCATTCTCATTTGATAAGGGCAAGCAACATGATTTGATTTATTCAATCATTTCAATTTTGATAATACACCTTAATTTGAACTTTATCTCTAAATCCTGTTTTTGGCTGGCCCATGAACAGAAAGATGATAGAATCACAGAGTAACCTGCGTGGGCAGGAACCCACAAGGATCTCCAGTCCTACACTCAGCACCACCCAAAGTCCAAACCCTGTGTGTGAGAGCACTGTTTAAGCTCTCCACAGCACTCAGGGCGGTGCCCACCACCCTCTGGTGCAGACCCTGTCTCTAACCCCTCCATTGATGCAGCTCCATGCCGTTCCCTCAGCCCTGTCGCTGTCACACACAGCAGAGCTCAGCGCTGCTCCTGCGCTCCCTGTGAGGAGCTGCAGCCGCCATCAGGCCTCCCCTCAGCTCCTCTGCTCTGTGCTGAGCAAACCAGCCGCTCCTCATACCTTCCTCTTGCTCCTTAGATTTTTCCCCATCCTTACAGCCCTCCTTTGGACACTCTCTATTGCTTGATGTGCTTCCTACACTGTGCACCCAACCTGCACACAGTGCTGGAGGTGAGGCTGCACAGCACACTGCAGAGGGGACAGCTGCTGCCCCTGCCCTGCTGGCAGTGCTGGGCCTGGTGCACCCCAGGTATGGTTGGCTCTCTGGGCTGCCAGGGCACGCTGCTGGTTCATATTCAACTTGCCATCAATTAGAACACCCAGATCTCTTTCTCGGGGAAGCTCTCCAGCTTCCTGTCCTCCAGCTGCCTCTTTCCCCAACCTTGTCTAGGTTTGCCCCACCCCAGGTGCAGAGTTTGTGACTTTGCACGTGTTAAACCTCATGTTTTTGGTGATCACCAAACCCTCCAATTTGTCAAGGTCTCTCTGTGAGGCCTCTCTATCCTGAAAGACTCAACAATACTTCCCAGTTTAGCGCTGTCTGCCAACTTACTTTGTATACATTCAAGTCCTGTATTCAAGTCACTGATGAAGATATTTAAGAAAACTGGTCCCTATAGAACCCCATGAGTGAATGGCTCGCAGCTTAATGTAACCTCAGTTACTATAACTCTTTATGCCAACCCATCAGCCAACTGTTCACCCCCTGCACTATTTATTTGTCTAGCTGTATGCTGGACATTTTGTCCAGAACAATGAGAAACACTAATGAAAGTTTTGATCCAAGAAGATTATATCACCTGGCTTCTTTTGGTCAACTAGGTCTCTAATCTTGTCATAAAAGGAGATTAAGTTCATTAAACAGGACTTTCTCCTCACAAAAACCTGCTGGCTGTGCCCAATAACTGCATTGTTTTTCAGGTATTTTTCAGCAATTCCCAGAACAATCTCCATGATTTTACCAGGCACTGAAGTGAGACAAACAGGTCTATAATTACCAGGATCTTCTTTCTTACTTTCTGTGTTCCTTGGGGACTTAATATTTTCCAATTTACAACTCAGCCTAATCAAGGGATAATTAATAAACGAAAAATCCCATAAAGAGAAAGAAATTATTTTCTGAAAACTGTAAAGAGAGAAACTATACTATAAAATAAAAAAAAAAAAAATCCTTTATGAACATTGGATGTGTCCATTTGCAGCTGTACACTGTAAGAAAAATACAGGTAGTTATATTAGACCTAATTTAAGGTTGTGTGTAATGTCAAGCAGATGAAAATTCTGTTTTCATGCAGTAGGAAGAATTAAAGGACACAATTAAATTAGCTATGCTCAACATGCATTTGATTTCCTACCAATATTTGTTGTCATCATGAAATCTAAAAATGAAGGTGAAGCTTGAGCAGGTTTAATAACAAGGAGTTCTCAAGGACATTACAGCTTAACAAATGCAAGGTCATAAAAAGTTAAGCTAAACTGCTGTTGTCAAACCTTGAGATCAAAGTAAATCGATCCTGAAAGTATAAGACATACACAAGCTGTTCATCTGAATTCAGGCAGTAATGGTTGTAAACCTTATCGAAAGCCTTCTTTTGAAGGCGCCAGCGGATGCTCTGATTTTTGCTCATTAGCAGGGGGCAGATGGAAACATGTTCTGAATGGCAAATATGTTACACAAAAGACCAGCCAGGAGAATGGAGGAAGCCTAATGCTGCTGCAACCACTAGAATACAACAAAATAGCTAATTGGTTTTGTCAAAAGACAGAAGCAGGTGCTCTCTCCATGAATTTAACACAGACCTGAAAGCTCTTGGACTGATTTGTGGCATGATCTCCATTGGCAACAAATTATCAGGCTACGCAGGGATTGGAAAAAAATCTACTCATTTGTCATAATATGGGCAGAAAAAAAATGAGCATGCTCTAAATTGGTAACTGTTGGCTTTGTTGTGGAATTTTGTGCGGTTGTGTTCACTGTAACACCTGAATTTATTTTCATGTTTCTGTTGTCAAGAAAAAGGGGGAACACGGGAGTTTGAAAGACAGCGAGGCTTAACCTAATTTAGAGACTGGCAAGCAAAGCATATAGAGCTGCACTACCCAGATATGAGCAGTGTCTGTTTTTTTGAGAGTACTTTGCATTCTTACAGCTATTTCCATGCCTAAGTCTTAGCTTCTGATGGATTCAGTAGCAGCTGGGTATGTTTAGCACTTTCTTTGAAACTCTGGCTTATAGTTAACAGGAGTAAGCTAAACTTGTCACGACTGAGAATTCTCCTACGCAGGATCCATCTTCTTTACCCTAGCAATAACCTTTCTCTTCCCGTGAGCCCTCCTCTTGATCTCTGGATGTCCTCTGTGTACAATGAAAGCAACACTGCATTTTTGCAGCAATAAATGAAGCTAGTCCATATATAAAGATGATAAATTCTATATCAAAATTATAAATCATTATAAATATCAGTCCAAATCTTCTTTCTTCATGTGTTTCATTTATAAAAACATAAAGATAAAGCATATCTACTTGGCAGAAAATCTCTTACCATACAGTCATCTATACTGTATACTGAGTGAGGAAGGGCCTAAAAACAAAAAGTATGGCATCACATGATTAAATGTGAGATCATATAAAAAAATTCAAGTTAACTTTGTGATGTTTCAGGGAATTTAAACCATAAACTGCATTTAATCATGTGGCAACAATGACATTGGATCATATCTTTGGGCAATCAAACAGCCAGAGCTGGCAATTGCTTCACATTTGAGACCAACTTTATTGTTGTAATTCTAGGGGAAAATAGGGAAGCAAGTTTTAGCAATGACTTACTTACTCTTACACTTGCTGACAGCCCTGAGTTCTTTCCCTCCCCCCCACTCCTAGAAGTTTTGCTGGCTACACACTCAGCTTACCAGAACTGCTGTGAAGAAAAAACTTTGTGGGGAGAGCCCAGTGATGGCTCTCCTCTTTCCTCAGGGATGGGTGTTACCTGTAACTCTTGTCCTTGATCTCCACTAGGGCTACATCACAGATATGTTATAGCCATGTTTGTGTTTGGCCAAGCACAGATCTGATTTAGCTGCCTGATCCTGACCTACAGACTGACTACCTAGTTGAGCCTGGGACCTTGACACTTTGGACTTTCTCATCTGTCTGGACCACATGTAACTTTATTTACTTTATTTACCTGATCTGCTCTTTTTCTGTGGGACAGCACCCTGTCAGGGAGGGCACAGCCCTGCCTGGCAGCTGGGCACCCACCACTCCAATTCTTGCCCTTGTGGAGCAGCCTACATTAGTCCTGACAGAAAACAAATGGGGCTCAGAAACACTGTGTTTTGTTGCAGACGCTGGCTGGAATGGAATAGACTTCTCTCCCTAATCTAGCTAGTATTTCTACCAAACAGTTTGCTTGCTTTTAAGTATTTTCACTTTCTGGCTTTTGTTTTCTTTGTTTAAGAACTAATCATTACCTAAATGTCAGGCAAAAAGCAGGAAGGGCAAAAGAGCACAGAAAAGACAAGCTTTAGGTTTGGTACTAACGACTTCAAGCTCAAATTTGGGGAAAAAAAAACATCACAGGGAACAAATAACATCCATAGTCTCTAACTAGTGCAAGAGACTTGGCTTCTTTAAGTTGTACTTATGCAGCTTGTGCTAGGAGCTGTTAGGGAATTCAACATATTTGCAGGCTATTAATAAGGCCATTAAACCAGAGAAAACATCTTCTGAGGATGTGAAGACATAGCTCAGCCAAATTTGAAAAATATAGGAAAAATCAAGAAATATCTAAGAAATCCATTAACATTTTGCAACAAAGATGCTTAGAACATATAGAGTCATTGAGGCTCATTAACTGCCATCCTCAGTTGTACTAGCAGCTCCACTATATCATCAGGAAAATCCCATGTTTTATGAATAACGTGGACTCCTCTTGCAAATAGGAAACAGCATGAGAGCCAATCAGCGTCCTTTCTTTATGAATATATTTGAATATATTCTGTGACTACTGCACTAGAACTATTCCTAATATATTTCTCACAAACTTCTTTCATTGTACACTGAATGTTCCTTTATTCTTTTCATGCATTTAGAGTAGTCTATCTAAATAAGGCACATCTTAGAGACACAAAACTGTTAAGAAGCATATTAAAGTCACCATCATCATTCATTGCCCAGCAGTGGTCTTAATCTTTTGACCCCATCCTGACTGCAGAACTACATAGAGGACAAAAAATGCATCCATCGTGTTTCTCGGGATCAGTGTTTTTTTGCAAATGTGTTCTGACAAATAGAATGGGATGCTTTTCTCATTTAGTTACATTATATTTCTCATTTAAACCTCAATAAAATCCTTGCTTCCTGTAATAGCCCTTGAACCAGCACCCACAGAAAAAGGAGAAAATAATCTGTGTGGGTTCTACAATCTAAGAGAGTTCTCAGCATTTTTTCTCATACTTCAGAAACTGGATGGCATCCAATGACATTTCCAGGTGCTATATTTAAAACCAACAAAACAAACAGTGTTGCTTTTTTTTTTTTTCATATCACACTAATTAACTGTCTAAGACATTAATGCAGCAAGTTGTTGAAGACAAAAGTCTGAATTCAAAAAGGAAGGAAAAAAAATTGAGAACGTGCATTTCTCTCTATTTTGTTTTATATTTGAGTTATTTGAAAGTCTCCTAGGTCACAGTTGGAAACAATAGCAAAGGACTGTATGAAAAGAAAGTATGTTTAGTCAGCAAACATAAATCTATGCTGTTTGAAGAAAATAACTAAATTAAACAATAATCAAGACTGAAAAGAGAGCTCCTGCAAATTATATGAATAAATCTGTCAATTATCATCACACCTGTAACAGATGGTGAAACTTCATCATTTTGTAGCAATCGTGAATTTACTGCGCACAGCAAACTGTATTGTTCTAATTAGCCTTGTTCTCCTGCAACAAAAATAATCTCAAAGCGCTTTATTTTGAGGCCCTAGCAATATTTGGAAATGTCTTCTTCCCAAACCCACCAACTGCACATATTTTAATAGCTTTTTACTAGTCTTAGAACAAGTAATGGAAATGCTAAAGAACATCATCACATCTACAGAATATCATGCTTAATGAAGACCAAATTTGCATTCATGAGATAAAGCTTCATTTCCAGGCACTATTCCACTGGAATAATAATAATAATAATAATAATAATAATAATAATAATAATAATTGTAATTTACCAAGTACACGTCAGGTCATCAGATGGTATAGATTTGCACAAATGTACTGAAATTGACTGGAACTTCAACTGAAAATAGAGGCCATCTAGATTTGCATAGTATGACAAGTGAAGGAAAATGTCCAAGTTGTCCTGTCATTGTATGTTTGTCTCTTATCAATATCTGTACTGCCATGGGCATTGGAGGCTTAAGACTTTTTTTTCTGTAGTTGCTTATTATAACACTGCATGAATGATGAATAAACTACTGCCTGGATAAAATAAAGCCATGCTAACACTATTGATAATTTGAATCACTATATGTTATTTCAGAAGCTTCTGGGATCCTGAACCATTTACATTTTGGCTCTTGGATTTCTTGTTATATAACAACCCAAAGCCCTACCTGCAGGAGCAATTGCCCTTTGACGCTTATTTGAAATAAACAGAAAGGTCAATCACACATAGCTTTAGGCACTGAAGTCATCAGGACATTTTGAGAGCTTTTTGTTGTCCAGCCTTTAGGCAACAGGTGATCTTCTAGCTCATACTTTTTCAATTTCTCCAAACAGGATTTTCTTCCTACAACCTTCCAGGTAAATTCTTAAACTCCTTCCTGAGAAATTATCACCTCCTGTATGTGGCACTGACTCAGTAAGTATGCAGTGGTTTATTTTTCTGACCCATTCTCATCCTTTTGTGGGGTGCCATTGGTTCTCCGTAGCTTCCCTAAGGGCAGAGAGCAACTGCTGTGCCATACAGAAGACCTTGAACACTGCACTATTTCCTGTTGCTTTCACACTTTCCATTGCTTCTTTTCTGTCACCAACGTGGGGTATGACTTGACATGGTGACATGTGTTTGAGGGATCACATCAGACAGTCATTCTTCTCTTGCCAAGGTTGCACCTGCTCATAGAAAAGACCCAATGAGTGTTTGTAGTTACAGTGTCTGCCTCAATTTGACAATTCAGGATTCAATTCAGGAACACATGGATACACCCAAATGTGCACGCTCATTCTCAATTACATTTATGTTCCCCTCCTCTGTTTGCAGATTTCATAGAAAGCATTGTTATCAAAATTCTCATGTCCTGTACACACATTCATTTCTTTAAGACAAAACAGCCTTCTTTTTTTTTTTTTCCGGTGTCACCAGCTAAGAATTCAGAAAAGTCCACTTCTCTCCTGTGCAATATAATTTTCCCATTTTGAACTGTAGTACCCAGTTCTCTCTGACTTCTTTCATAATTAGAATAAATAACAATAGTAAAATAATTTCAAAATAATTTAAAATGGGAATTAAAAATAATTTAATAATTATTTTATTGCAATGACTCCAGTTGCTTCTTTTTAAAGTCCCTAACTGCAGACAAGCAAATTTCAAACTCCTTGCCAAAATCATATTTGGCTTTGTCAAAGCCAAACCTTGAAGCCATGGCAGGAGGTTAAAAATCTAACTAGACATTGGCTCAAAAGCTCTGTTAATTTGAGCTTTAGATGATCACATCTGTCCCTGTTTCTTTCTCTGCTCTGTAAGTCATCTGAACTGCAGCATAGCAAAGCCAATTCCAATGTGACAGCCACAGCCCAGAAAAAGCTGCTGGTAGTTTCTGCAATATTTACAAGGTCTACCAGGAAAAGTACTTTTTCTAAACTTCTGAACTGGTCAAGACTCATAAGATTGTCACTAATGTGCTCTTTCTCCAGGTTATTCGCACTCAGTGAATGTTTGGATACCTTACACTAACTCAAATATTCACCAACAGCATCAAGATGATGGATTTAGGCCTCCGTGGACTCTTGAATTGTCCAATGCTCAGCTTATGTCCCCTGTCACAAATCCATATGAGAAGCTAGTTGGTTCATTTGGTTGAATGAGTCCAGATGGATGGGAGAACTCCTAAGTTACATTCCTCTTACTAGCTGTGTGATACTTCACCGGCCTGGAGTATGTGGGTGAATTCCTTTAGCAGTGTGAGCACACTTCTACTGTGTGCAAAAAACTGTAGGCATTTCCATCCAGAAGTCTTTGTTTTCTTAAACTTCTTTAAGAGGTGAGGAATTGGTGCTATCCAATGAATTCCTAATGTATCAGCTGCACCAAACCAATTGCAAATGCTATCTGAATCACATTCTTTCCTTCATTTATTTTGCTGGGGGCTCCTAGATCTGGCTTCAGAACATTACAGCAACCTGTAATCTTGCAGGGGAAAAGAATCTGAGCTTTCTTTCATCACAAAGAAAATACTGTGCTTGTGATTAGGTTCTAGTCACAATCTCAGGAGATGTGTTCTGAACGTTATTATTGCACATTCCTCAGTAATCCTGTTTTCCTGGATAGCATTAATATAGGGGAAAAGGGCTAATTATGGTCTTCGACTGAAAGACTCAAAAAGGCAGGTTGGGACTATGGAGAGCTGGAGACTGTCCCTGTTACAGCTTTGCAAGTACAGGGTTTGATGGACCTGGGGGACAGAAATAGGGTGCTAGGCTGTGGGAAGGGTGTAGGTGCAGCCTCAAGGAGTGGATAGAGACAGACTGGTGCTGCCCTCAGGGCAATTAGGAAAAGTCCTATGCTAAGTGTAGGAGACCTACAGCCTAACCTGAATCTTTGTTTAGAAGTGCTTGGGGCACACATCCTAACCCCTTTTTAATTCAGTATACTTGCTAGCTTTAGACACTGCAGCTTCTGTACAGTAGCCTGACCAACTTCCTAGGAACAGCATTTACCTCATGTATATACTCAGGGACTGAGTATATTAGTGCAGTAAGACTCTTTCACTGTAAATCATTGATTGTTCTACTTGCTGCCTATTCTTGAGAGTAATGCTGCATATAATATTCATGTA